TCTAATGTTCCTAGAATTTACCGGGGGCCATCTCTCTCGGACCGGTCTCCAGGGTCCATGCTCGCTGGGCTGTGGAGGGGCTCAGAGGAAGAGTCTTTTTTTTTTTTTTTTAAACCTGTGTCTCTGGTTCTTTTTTCTTGTTGAACTTCCCCAGAGAAAGCATAGGGTGGCCCATGTCGAAGCCAGCTGGGCAGCAAAAGCCTTCACTAGGAGACATGGAGGAGGGTGGGAGCAGACGCCCCCATTTCTTCATCCCTCCGCAAACTCTGCAAGTCACCTTTCTACGGGATCAAATTCAAACATGGGTGAACCAAGGCCAGACGTCCAGGCTCTCTCTACAGCGGCATTCAAGTCAGGGGAGAGGCATGCGGGTACGGGATCGACAAGAAGAGGGGCAGGAGCCAGGCTGTTTGTTGACCCCATTGAAGGCTGAGTGCACAAACAAGTTCCTGGCCTATCTACTCTGGAGAAGCCGCTCACTTCTTGAAGACCGTTAGGGGCTCCTGGTGCCTGTGGTTGGCTCTGGGGTACTGTGGTATGTGGATACTGATTTTTTTGTCAGGGAAAAAAAGCATTCCAGAGCTAGTATTTGAAGACAGGTTGTTCTCTTTTGCATAATGAAGTACGATCCTACCTCCACAAAGTAAATTTAGTGTCCTGAAGAGCAGATCCGGCCTCAGAGCCCAGGTCCCGACCAGGCTCATCTGGTTACCACTCCAGGTATTCTGTTCTTGGCCTACTCTCTAAAGCAGTGGCTCTCACCTTCCTCACACTGCCACCTTTAATATGGTTCCTCATACCATGCTGTGGTGACCCCCCCACCATAGTTAATTCGTTGCTACTTCATAACTGTAATTTTGTTACTGTTATGATTAGTGATAGAAATATCCGATATGTGACTCCAAAGGGGTAGCGACCCACCGGATAAGAACCACTGCTCTAAATAGACACCAGAGATCCGGATAGGGGACACTGATGGCCAGCAGCCTGCTAGTGAATTTATTTAGCCAGTTTTCACAATAACAACAACAATGATCCGTGCACTACAGTCACCTGGTCTTTGGCACTTGGCAGTTCTCATGGTGTCCTTTTCCCATGACTGCTTTCAAGCTTCCGATGTGCCAACAACTGGCTCACCAAATTCCAGGCACTGGAAACTCGACTGTGTTTTAAGGGAGCTCCGGAGAACGGCTAACTCCCCAGACACATTTCTCCAGAGAGGGCACCTAGCTGGAGGTGACGCGCTCCCCAGAGTGGTTCCTGCATGGAGCTTTCTCAGGCACACACACACCACCACCACCACCACCACCACCACCACCACCACCACCACCACCACCACCACCACCACCAAATCCTCTGAAATCTTTATCCAACAGTGTCCTCTTATAAATGTAGAAAAGATGGGTGGAGGCCTCTCCTGTTATTTTTTAAAACAGATTTCTTCTTTTTTCTTTCTTTCTTTCTTTCTTTTTTCTTTCTTTCTTTCCTTCTTTCTCTTTTACATTTAATTTTAGTTTTGCACTTATGTTATGGATATTTTACCTGCATGTGTGTTTGTACACCAAATGCATGCCCAGCGCCCTTGGAAGTCAAAAGAGGATGTCAGATGTCCCAGAACTGGAGTTACAGACAGTTCTAAGCCACCATGTGAGTGCTGGGGATGGGATCCAGGTTCTCTGGATTCTTTGGAAGAGAACTTAACTGCTGAGCCAGGGAAGCCCCAGGGAAGTTTCTCTGAGAAGAAGAAAGCAACTTATTAAGGAAATGGGCATAAGATGAGTATGTCCTGATTGAGGAATACAAGGAGTATGTGTGTGTGTGTGTGTGTGTGTGTATAGAGATCTATATATAAGTATAGAATATGGATAGAGAGACTATAGATACAGTGAGAGAAAGGTAGAAGACACAGACAAGTAGAAAATCAGAGAGAGGGAGAGAGAAAGAGTGAGTGACGAGAGAGAGAGCGCGAGAGAGCAGTTAACTTTATTCTGAGTCATTTGAGAATTTAGAATGGCTTGGTAGGCATGATACCACATGACCTCTAAATGGTTTCCAACCTTCCTAAAACCGTGGCCTTTTACAGTTCCTCATGTTATTTTTGTCGCTACTTCATAACTATCACTTTGCTACTGGTACGAATGGTAATGTAGGTGTCCCATATGCAGGCTGTCTGATATGCGACCCCTGCGAAAAGGTTGTTCAGCCCTGCCCCCAGGGGTCGCAACCCACAGGCTGAGAACCACTGCCCTAAATAACCCAGTTTCTATTTCCTCTGAGAAACCCCTTCTTCTCATTACCTCAATTAACACTGCAAACAAGGAAATCAAAATCAGTTAAACTCTGTCATCCAATCGCGGACTTCATGCAAATGCCTTCAGCTTTCCCAGCAATGCCTCACCCGCCTTTCTGGTTCAAGATCCACGTTAGGGTCACAAGTTGCGTTTAGCTGTCAGGCCTCCTTAGCTCTCTTCAATCTGAGACGGATCTTCAGTCTTTCCCCATCTCTGTCACCCCGACAGTCAGGTCTTCTTTCTGTCCTTCTGAGTCAGGGTCTTACGCAGTCCTGACTAGTCTAAAACTTGCCATGTTGCCCCAAGTTGACCTCATTTTTTTTTCAGTGATCCTCCTGCCTCTGCCTTCCAGGTGCTGGGATTACACGAATGTGTCACACGCCGGGTGACAATAATATTAAAAAGTACAAGGCATGGGCGGCAGAGGCAGGCGGATCTCTGTGAGTTCGAGACCAGCCTGGTCTACAGAGCTAGTGCCAGGACAGGCTCCAAAGCCACAGAGAAACCCTGTCTCGAAAAACCAAAAAAAAAAAAAAAAAAAAAAAAAAAAAAAAAAAAAAAAGTACAGGGCATCATTTTGTAGGATGTTTCCCCAACCTGTGTTTTCAGGTCTACTCTCAGGTCGCTCGCTCTTGGCAAGAAAACTGCGCAGAACTAGACTTCTCCCAGGCATGACAGAGCTCCCAGCAAGGAGTGCTTCCTGTCAGTGGGTCAAGTCGGTGCCTGCCAGGTTTCCCCATCACACACTCACCATGGTTTGCTTTGAATTTGATGACTGTGGTGAGGAAAAACTGCAAGACAGCACCAACATCCTGTCCCTCACTAAATCTCCATCCACTGCCCTTAGCATCCTTGATGACTTCAGCCTTCATCATCCACCATGATAGTTACCAAATGAAGATCATCCATGTCTATCATTCACTCTGCATTCATCCGTCTATCCATCCATCCATCCATCCATCCATCCATCCACCCACCTATCCATTCATCCTTCCATCCATCCATCTATCCATCTACCCACCCACCTATCCATCCATCCATCCATACATACATACATACATACATCTATCTATCTATCTATCTATCTATCTATCTATCTATCTATCCATCCATCCACCCACCTATCCATCCATCTTCCCACCCATCCATCAATCCATTCATCCATGCACCCTCCATCCATCTACCCATCCACCTGCTGGCACCCTATTATAAGAAATGCAAAGACTCACAAATTCCTATTTTAACCAAAGGGTTATAGTTTATTAGTACCGCTATTTATGCTGATACCCAGATGTCCTAGATTTAGCCAGTGGGAACCCCATCAGACTGATTTGTGTCATTTTGACGTCAATTCTTTGAGCATTTCCTCATTGTCTGGCACAAAAAGAGTTTAAGATGCTTCCCCTCCCTCCCTCCTCCCTCCTTCTCTTCCTTCCTTCCTTCCTCTCTCAAAAGCTGACCTGAACTCACTATGTAGGTTAAAGCTAGCTTCGAATTCATGGCAATCCTCCTACCTCAGCTTCCTGAGTGTTGATATTATAGGCTTGACCTGTCATATATGAACAAACACATGTTCAGTCTCTTCTGAGAATGTTTCTGTTTTAGCACTGGACTCTGCCTTCTCACCCCTTGAGACCCCAGTGTCTCTCGTGGGGAATAGCACATAGACACTGTGATCTGGACACTTGGTGATTGGCTTTTGCTTGGGTGTCATTGGCTTGGCACCTGTGTCAGTCCACAGTTCTGGAACACTCTAATGTGAACTAACTGTAGAAGATCCTGGCGTCTTCTTTTACTTTTTTAAAATGTGCCTTGGTGTTTCACTTGCCTGCATGGCTGTGTGAGGATGTTGGATCCCAGGGCTGGAGTTACCAACAGCTGTGGGGTGCCATGTGGGTACTGGGAATTGAACCCCGGGTCCTCTGGAAGAGAAGCCAGTTCTCTTAACTGCTGAGCCATCTTTCAAGCCCCCTTGGCATCTTCTTATGTCTGTCAATGCCCTAGTATTTCAGTATCTCGCGGGATGATGTCTATTGTTTTGACAGGGGTATTTTTTAAATCTGCTAGAGCAGCACCCAGTTTCAGTCTTCTCACACTCATGTGTGGGCAGGTGGGGTCCGTGTGCGTGTGTATCCTGCACATAGAGGGCAAAGGAGGACATCAGGTCTTCTGCTCTATCAGCTCCATTTTACTCTCTTTGGATGGGATTTCTCACTGAATGTGGAGCTCGGCTGGCAGTCAGCAAGCCCCAGCAATCTTTCTGTCTGGACTCCCACAACCCTGGGGTAACAGGCGTGTGGGCATGCAACTATGCCTAGCTTTTTACATGGGTGCCAGGGCTGGAACTCGGATCCTTGTGCTGGCCCAGCAAACACTCTCACTCACTAGCCGTCTCCCTAGGCGTGTGTGTATGTGCGTGTGCACGTGTGTGCATGTGTGTGTTAAAGTAAGAAATGTAGGTATATATGATGGACTTTTAGGAGTGATAATAATTATTATTTTGACTCAGGGTCTCACCTTAGTCCAGGTTGGCCTAAGCTCGCAATAATGCCCAGTCTCAGCTCCCCAAGTGGTGGAATTCTAGGTGTGAGTTGCCACACACAGTTTGGACTTTATTTTAAAAATGGGAAAGGATTTCATATGAGGAACTGGGGTTAGGTGGATGGAGGGAACCTGTAGTCTGAGGGGATTTTAAGAAAGGAACCCTCTAGAGCGCAGAGCGGTTTGGTCGTTCGTTGGAGGTAGATCTTCTGTTCCTGTCGCCGATCGCGGCTCCTGTTTGCGCGCTCACAGCGGCGCGGCGGTCCCAGCACGGGCCTCAGACTCCGGCTTTGGGTGAAAGAAAATGGCCCGAACCAAGCAGACCGCTAGAAAGTCGACCGGGGGGAAAGCGCCCCGCAAGCAGCTGGCCACCAAGGCGGCCCGCAAAAGCGCGCCCTCTACCGGCGGGGTGAAGAAGCCTCACCGCTACAGGCCCGGGACCGTGGCCCTGCGAGAGATCCGTCGTTACCAGAAATCGACTGAGCTGCTCATCCGGAAGCTGCCTTTCCAGAGGTTGGTGAGGGAGATCTCCCAGGACTTCAAGACCGACCTGAGGTTTCAGAGTGCAGCCATCGGTGCCCTTCAGGAGGCCAGTGAAGCGTACCTGGTGGGGTTGTTTGAAGATACCAATCTGTGTGCCATCCACGCCAAGAGAGTCACCATCATGCCCAAAGACATCCAGTTGGCTCGCCGGATACGGGGGGAGAAAGCTTAAGTCGA